CCTGCTGGACACCTCCCCACAGCCTGGACACACCCCAGCAGAGGGCCAGCTACGTCGTGCCCCGACCCCGACCCACAGGGACCGTGAGGTGACGAATGCATGTTACTGTCGGCCGTGTGTACGCTTGGGGCAACTCATCACGCAGCGCGAGGAAACTGGTAGGCCATCTATACAACTCCCAGGGACATATGTTATACCCATAAGTGGGAATCTCCTGTGTTTGTATAAAAAGTGGTTTAGGAACCTCAGATAAATATACAAGTGTTAACTAGTATTATTTTTCAGTTCCTTTGCAAAATTTTAAACCAAATATATAGCACTTACATTTAAGTATCTTTCATAAAAATATCTAATCCCCTCCTTAGGGGGATCCTAAGTCTAATACTTCTAAAAATTAAGACCCTTTTGACCAGACTTTCAAAGAGGTCCTCTTACACCCCCAAGCCGTTTAAGATCCTAAAACCGGACTAATTCAGACGCTTATATCTGGATGGTCCCCAAACCTGACCATTCGGATAGAAAACAAACGAAAGCTACTTGTCGGCACCGAAAATACTTCCTCGTCAGAGAACAGACACCCAGGTCCTTTTTGCAAAGTGGCCGTGGGCTTATTCCTGCCCAAATTGCAGCCTTGCAGTTCCTGAGCCCAACCACAGCCCTGGCCGGTGCCCCTAAAAATGGCACCGTGTCTGGCTGGGTCACCTCCATGACAAGTGCACGGAAACCCTGCCACCCTCCCATCCGGCGGGGTGGGGCAGGGGTGGGGGGGGGGGCGGAAGAACGTGTGACACAGGACAGAGACGAGGCAGAAAGCAGCCGGGCTCGGGATGTCTCAGCCAGCATTTCCCAGGAGGCCACTGGACTGCAGGCGGCGCTAAGCCAAGGGTTCTGACCCCGCGGGTCTCCCCCCCAGGCCAACATCCCTCTGTGAGTCTCACCTGATCTCCTCCATCTGCAACTGCAAAGACCATTTAGAGACTCTGCCTGGACCAACTCAAGGCTTTTCAACAAGTGCGTGAGCCCACCTCTGCGCAAAAACAGTGAGCGTTCCCGGAGCACACACCTGAGGATCTTTCACAAAAGGACCTTCTAGGCCAACTCTATGGGAATCCTAACTCACCACTAACTCCTAAAAAATTAAGATAATTTTCACTGGATTTTCAAAGCAGTCCTCTTACAACTACAATTAAATTAAGATCCTAAAACTTTAGACGAATTCAGACTTCTTTACCTAGATGATCCCCAACCTGACAATTCAGAGAGAAAGCAAACTAGCCCAGCCAGTGTGGCTCAGGGGTTGAGCCGTCTGGGCCCAGGGCCCTCTGCTCACTGGGCCCCCATCAACCACGGCTCTGAAACCAGGACTGTGCAGTGTGTCTGCACCCATTTCTAGAGAATAAAACAAAGCCATGAGACTACAAAGGGGATTTTTTTTTTTTTAAAAGTGAAGTGTCAGACAGTTAAACACTGCGGGTCGTGTTAACTTGGCCTTTGGCGTCAGGATAAACAATTTTACAGCCGCCATGAACGAAAGCAAGAGCCAGAAACAGGTTCCCGAGGCTGCTCTACATGACCTGTGAGGCTGCAGAGGGCCGATCCTCAAATCTACTGGACAGACTTTCTTTATTTACAAAAACAATACATGCTTGACGTCACCAGCCCTATAGCACAGAAGTCTCAAAGAGTAACCATTCCCTGTCCCCACATCCCATCCCACTCCGGCACCCAAAGTCAGCATCCTCATAGCACACAGATAAACAAACACGTGCACACGCCCATAAACCCCCCAATGACAAAAAGCAGGATCATACTACGGACATGACGCTGTAACCGGAAATATTTTTTTGGCTTAAAATAAAACAGAGAATGCCCAGCCCTCCAATAGGATGGGGGTCACAGTTACAAGATGAAGCCACACATCTCAAGGAAGCGATGGCCCTAAAGTATCCTAGAAAGATGCGCTGAAACGAGTATCCGAAAGCAGGAAGCAATTTTCTGCTTTTTACACCAGAAAGGGCGTTCCTAAAACAGTTCGAAAATAAAATTACGCAGGGCTGAACCCAGACATTTCGTCTGCGAAAGACTCACGTGAGCACTTGGCATTTTGTTAGAAAGGGGACTGTTTCATTGTTCATAGGCACAACAAACCGGGTACCTGAATGCGTGTAACGTTCTACCCTCCGCCCCATTTTCAGTTCATCCGAAAGTGCACGGGGCTTCTTGGGCCAAAAGGAAAAGCGATCGGCCCCGTAGCTACGGTCGCATTGAGTCCTGCTATCTCCATCGCAGAGACCGAGGCTTCCAGCCTGCCTTTTGTGTGCTATCAGACCGTGCTTTCAATTAACGCTGCAGAACCCGAGGTTTTCCCACCCGCAGCCAGCCCAACTGCTCTACCTCCAGGGAAGGTGACACCAGGCCTCGCTGCCAAACCAGACAATACCTCTTCCCGCGGGGCAGCAGTGTTTTATGCCTCTTCCATTCGAATCCGCACTTTACATAACGGCTCTGAACGGAGGTCCGAGGTCCGACCCAGTGATCAAATTAATGCCCCCAAAGCAGTCTCCACACATCTCATGTTACTGTCCACCTCCCCCTGCCCCAACCGTATAAACCCACAACGATGAAAAGCTCAATTCCCAGAGGATGACGATCATTTCATTAAGAAACGATCCAAAGTTATCCTTGAAACAGGATGGGCTACCTGGAAAGGAAAGCTGTGTGCGACAGAAAATCACATGGCTTTGCATATATAATTTTTAAAAATATATCAGTTCCAAAAGGTCATAACCCATCCTACTTGTATCCATTATGACCTCTCTCTCCTTTTATTTACTTACTAGAGGCCTGGTGCACAAAATTCGTGCATGGGGGAGGGGAGGGTCCCTCAGCCCGGCCTGCACCCTCTCCAATCCAAGACCCCTCGGGGGATGTCTGACTGTCGGGATTGGGCCAAAACTGGCAGTTGGACATCCTTCTCACAATCCAGGACCGCTGGCTCCTAACTGCTCACCTGCCTGCCTGCCTGATCGCCCCTAACTGCTCTCCCCTGCTGGCCTGATTGACCCTAACCGCCTCTGCCTGCTGGCCTGATCGCTCCTAACTGCTCTCCCCTGCAGGCTTTTATTAGTATAGATATTTCCTTCTACTGTCTGTTCCCATATTAATAGAAAAATATGCAGCATGTCCCAATAATCCCATTCATTTCTCGACACAGATGCACTGTAAAAAGGGGAAGAACTCAGAAGCGCGGCCGAGTCTGTTAAAACTACACACTCCCATCCGATCCATCCTGCTTCCTCCTCAGCCGCTGGGACAGGGAGCCACACCCCTTCCTTGGTTTCGCTAACACTGCACCTTGACCTGAATGGATGCAAATTTCCGGGCTTTACACACACTCCTGAAAAACTGCATGTAAGTGTCTTTTTTACTCATATTTTAAATATATTAAAGGAACTTGATAGTTAAAGTAATCTTGTGAAATCCTTTATAAAGAATTTTTACAACTTAAAATTTCTCCTACTAGCCCTAATCGGTTTGGCTCAGTAGATAGAGTGCCGGCCTGCAGACTGAAAGGTTCCAGGTTCGATTCCGGTCAAGGGCATGTACCTTGGTTACGGGCACATACCCAGCTTGCGGTGTGCAGGAGGCAGCTGATCAATGTTTCTCTCTCATTGATGTGTCTAACTCTCTATCCCTCTCCTTCCTCTCTGAAAAAAATCAATAAAA